ATGTCACTCAAATATGAACGGAACGGGGACGTGTCATTGACAATGACTTGTTTTATTTATTTTATTTTTTTCAGGTAATATCCATGCTGTACTGAGTCGCGATGGAAAAGCTTATCGGTTAACGAGAGATCATACGCCCAACAATCACAACGAACGTGTCAGGGTTAGCAAAGCAGGCGCTAATGTCGCTGTAAGCGAGAAAGGGTCAAGGGTTAATGGGGTTTTAGATACTACACGTGGCATTGGTAACCATGGTGATCCACCCCTCAAGAAGGCTGTCATCTGTGAACCGTATGCGACTAGCGTTGTGATTGATCAGTATGCAGAGTTTTTAATTTTAGCTAACAATGGTGTGTGGGAGGTATTTTCGGAGGATGAAGCCGTTGCGCTGTTGACGAAAATGCTATCCAAAGCAGAATCAGCAACAAAGAGCCAGAATGTTAAAGATTTAGAATTGCTGTATGCAAAGGAACACAGCCAAGTGGGAAGCACTCTCTCACCGTCTTTGTTTTCTTCAGAGTCTGATGCCCGACCTTTGAGTCAGAGGTCACAGAGGTCAGAAGGTAGAGGTCAAAGTGATGATAAGGTAGACAGTCTAGGAAGTAACACTCCTCCACTGCGAAAAACTTCCAGTGTTCTTCCACCTTCCAGAACGGGTATGTTAGAAGACATCAGCGAGTCGCCCGAACACAGGATGGCACCATTGGATAGAACGATTGGGTCGAATAATAATGATTCAAATCTTAAAAATGGAAATAATGATTTAGTGCAGAAGGCTAGGAAACAAAGCAGCAGTTCGTCAGTTTGCAACCGTGATGGTGGTACGGATGAAGCAAAACAGGATGAGGAGTCAAGGCAATATGCAAATGTGAGCAATAATCAAAATGAGACTGATGAGAAATTAAGCAATCCCCATGACAACAATAATGGTTTGGATAATACAGAGAGACCAATTGTTAGCGGTAAAAGTGATAGAAGTCGGCGTAGCCGAGTAACTATTGCAGACGACTTACAGACTGAAGTCGGTAGCCAGATATCTTTTGGCTCGAGCAACGATGATGAAGATGATGACGGCTGCGATGCCGATGTGGAAACATTAACCGAGCTGCATTCTTTTTATGGTCAATCACGAATGTCTGAACCACCTTATAAATATGATTTACACTGTCAGCTTGCGAAGAGCATGGGTGAGCGGTTGGTGCACGCTGCGTTGCTAGCCGGATCAAAAGATAACATTACGGCTATGGTTATCCTACTACCAGGATGTAAACTAAAAATCTAGCCCATCGATTGATTTTGGTATACTGTGGAATACTTTATCTTCGCTGGAAATTAATTTTTGCTGAAAAGGCTTTTCGGGCGTTCTTTATGGAATTTATTTTCACTGATTTTTGATGAGTTGAATGTGAAATATAGGAAAAAAAGTATATTCGCTGAATTTTATTTTCACGGAATCATCCCTTCAGCAAAAATAGCGAAAATAAATTCCAAGCGAAAATAAAGTATTCTACAATACTCTGTTTGACCTTGACCATGAATTTTTACACTTTCTGGTGCTTTTTTTATATCAGAGTTATCAGAACAAATCTCAATTGACCTCATTTCTTGTATGTCTGTATAATTACTAGATGAAGTCACTTTACTGTAGTGTAGTGTGAAATTTCGCATTTCTATGGTGATGAATTTCTTCACAACCTGAACACAGAAGTATAACGTTGTCACTATTCACAAAATAAAATATGCATCATTTTTTCATAATTTGTTTTCAACATTTTGATTAAGACCTGTTGCCAGTGGGAAATTATGTCAATTTAGTTCAAAATTATCAAGAAAAATGGAGAAAAATACATTGCACCAACATTTTGGAGAGAAAAAATTACTTTGTCCAAAATGTTAAAAATTGGCCTTGTGTGATTACATGTATAGACGTGAGGCAGAAACAAAAAAATGTCATCTCTGATTCGCTTTGTTTTTTCACTTATTTTGTTTGTAAAATGTGAATTCATTTTACCAAATTATAAATTCTGTAATTATAGTAAGATATTTTTAAATATGTATGATTTTTTGTTGCGTCAATGATACGCCAGTGAATTGACACAAATATATGCATCACAGCATCAGCGGCGCTTTATATCAGCTTAGAGTGCACACTGCCGTAGTAGCACACATCACTACACTAAATCCTTCCATACAATAAGGCAAAAAAAAAAAAAACTTATGTTGCCCTCAAGTCGGAAAATTGAAAAATTGGGTCGGTCGGATATTTTTTTTTTAAACTTGTGAAAATTAAAAGTATCGTAAATAACCGAGGTATATGGGAATCAATCAAACGCATGCTAGATATTTAACCGGGGACCCTGGGGATCAAACAACTTTTTTACTGCTTAAAATAGTGAGTTTTTAAATATTTGAGCCTAAAAAAAACAAAACGCGATCCTATATTTTTCGATCGGTGGGTGAGGGCAACAAAACAATTTTTTTTTTTGCCTAAACAGCTTGCTGCCTGTTTCCCGTTTTCATCACTGCACTTTTAACTATTTTTTTAAAATAAACTGCTTGATAGAATACTGATAACAATTCTAATTTTTTTAAAAAAAATGTATCATGGTCTTTTTGGTTGAAAATTATATTTTGAAAAATAATAAATCTTTCAAACAAACAAAAAACTTTATCTGTCTTGGATCAATTGTTATCCTGACTCACATATACCGAAAGTGTTATGTATATTTTTTAATATTCATTGGAATCACCTTGATAATGAATAGCATTTTTGAGGGACGAAAACAAAATATTCAATACTTTTTTTTAAATTGAAAAATGTGCCAATTTTTTCTGTACTGGTTACTCAACCGATGAATGTTCCGCAGAGTAGATTAATTGAGAAATTGGTATATCAGTGTTCTATACTGCTATTGAATTGTAGTTGTAAACCATATGTCTAACTCTCAAGTGACTGTAATGTTGATGAGTGAAATGCTGCAGCTTATGGTGATATGTAGACATCCACCATTATTAAAAAGTCGAACAAAAGAATACACATTACAGCATTCCTGCATCATTTAAACACCAAATTAGTGCATCGTCATAGCAACTATCAGCATGACTCAATGAAAAAGTATAATACTGTAAAATACTGAAGGAATGATTCAGTGAAAATAAAATCCAGTGAAATACCTTTTTTTCTATATTTAACATTCAACTCATGAGAAATCAGTGAAAATAAATTTCTTACAAAACACCCAAAAATTCTTTTCAGTGAAAAATAAGTCCAGCTTAAATAAAGAATTTTACAATAAACATATTTTTGTGTGAAATGTATTGTTTATTGAAAAAAATTCCAGTGATTACAATTACAATTCATTAGGGCATTTTGAAAACTTAAATTTTGTATTCACTTTTTAAAGATTTATGTACATAAAAATATTATTGTTTACAAAATAATTAACAAATCAGACCTTACAAGGTGGTTGGTTGCTACATCAATTGATTAAAAAAAAATTCAGTAGTATTGCTTGAGTAGCATAAAAAGGACTTGTCACTGTATTTGACTGTAATGACCAATATTTTTGTTGCAAAATATTCTTTTTACTGAAAATTAATTGTTGTTTTTTCTATATACTTGCTGTGTGTTACTGTAAACTCATAAATATTGACGATTTAATATTTGGAAGAAAATGTGAAACAAAATTTCATTGTGATTAAGATCTGTAAAACCTCTGATCGCTTTTACTATACCAGTGTACGTGCGTCTACAGGCTGACCAATCAACTGTTTATGCAAATCTCATCATCCACTAATCAAAACTAGTGTTACAGGCCACTTTCTAGAACATAAACATAAACTGTTTTAGTAAGGCACACTCTGATTGGTTGAACAAATCTTGTCAGATGAGAGCTGCCTGATTGTGATTTGCACATGTGGTTGAACAGATGTAGTTTGAATCATGTGAGCTTTACTTATATAAATACCTGACTTGTGAACACAAACATTTGTATTCATTATCTGACTGTTTTATGATTTCCACATTTCATTTTTAAAGCATGGTGGTCGTTGCGCAGCACGTGTTTGAATTTCATGTAAATAAACAATGTGCTTTATACGTGTGGTATACGTCGCTATGAGTCCCATATCGAACAGGATGCGGCACAACGACTGCCGCCCTTTAATAGTATCCAGTGATCTACCAATAATGAATTTATTGATCTGAGAACTATACTAATTACAATTGTTTTGGTTTATCCATGATGTACAAATAAACAGCCTCAATTAATCCTTTGCGACTTCATTGGATTTAAGAAGATTATAAAACACTTACTTTTTTTACAGCAATTAAGTAAAGTATTTCAAACCAATTTAAATAATAGATTGAAAGTGTAGAATATTTCAAGATTTATTTTTTACAAAAATCAAAATCTTGCTATCTAGTATTTCATGGAAATATTAAATTTATCATTATGGCCATAGAGGGCGCTATTCACAAAATATTCTTAAACTTTTCACGTCATCAATAATTTTTTCAGACTTCTGGAGTGTAGAGCACAAAACTAACTTCCAAATCAAAATTATATTTACATTGTAATTTTTCAAGTGAACGAAATAGGTTGAATTTTTGTAAAAATTTTTTTTTAAAGTTGGGTTGTGTATCTTATGCAAAAGTATGTTATTTCCGTGTATGTTGCTGTATTTGTTATCACATGCCAGTATATGCAATAATTATTGATGCTTAATAAACTTTTTTCAAAGAAAATATGAGTAATTTATCTGAATTCATATATTATTCAAACAAAAGTGAAATCCCCCCCCCCACAGAACGGTATTGGATGAGGAGAATGGTCTATGGCAAGATAGTGTGCGAATGAATCGGCCTTCTTTGAATCCAATATGATGCTGAGGGGGTATAATTTAGGATTTCCATTAAAATCACTGTTGCCATGGCAACAGGTAAAACACTGATTTTTGAATAGTTTTGTGCTAAATGTATCTCCTACAAATTCCAGACTAAAAATCTCGGACATAGTTCATTCTACTTAGCTTAAGTGTGGGTACAATGCTGCTATTTGTTTTTTTGATATCCTTTTTCATTAGCGAGAAATTTGACCGCAAACTTGGTAGACAGATAACACCTTCACTCTAGTTGGGTGGTAAAATCTGAAAAAATTTCTGGCCCGCTGTTGCCATGGCAACAGCCAAAAAAAATTAAATTTGAATAGCTTTGCTCCAAATGTATATCCTCCTACAAATAAAAGAGTGAAAATCTCGAATACAGCTCATTCTATAGGCACAAAGTTACTATTTGTTTTTGTTTTTTTCATTACCAAGAAATTTGACCTCATAAGTGGAGTAACTATTTCTGAGCACAGGG